TCTATCTCTTTCGGTTTAAGTTCACTCCCAACATATTTTTTAGCAAATTCAATAGCCATGTTCACTCAAGGGCAGGTACCCTCGTGCATTTTTTTAGCAGGCACCATGTTGGAACAACATTTTCAAAAGTTGTTGTATAGAAGTTTCTTTTGTATGTATTGAGGATAAAAACACAAATAAAAATGGTTAAAGCGCAAAAACTGTGCATCAGGTGGAGACCTGTTTTCTGTATGGGGACAGGTTACCCTATTTCCTACATTCACAGCCGAGTTTTCTTTGTGGTTACGGAAAACGGACAGGTTGGCGGATTGAAATTTACAGGTATCGAATCGACGTTTGAAACCTTTACATTGAAAACACTGTAGGTTTATCTCCTCATTTACCATCACGATAATCCTCTTCAGGGAACATCCGGATGTTTGTTGGTGGACAGCAACCAAGTCAACAAAAGTCAGCAGCATCAAGAGTGTTGGAGGGTGGATTCAAAGTCGAGGGGTCCAAGTACCTTGGCGTGTATTAATCATCTTTCATTAATAAAACAATCCTTGATGCAAAAGACTTAACTATTCCCCCGTTATCTATTTCACACAAAACGGTATGTCCTGTACATAAAAATGGCCATCAGTCTCATTTAAAGGACACAAAAAGTTCAGAAAGCTCAGAATTATTGTGAATAGTTCATCCATGAAATAGATATCTAAGTTTTATCGTCAGTCACCCAAAAAATTTGGTCAAATCAATGGCCCTTCCCCAGTTTTTGGTGAATGCAATAGGGTGAATGGCTTATTAGTATCTGATAATTTACGTTGCAGTCACTATTCCCAGAAGAAAATGACTTTATTATCATCCTCCACGAACTGGTGTGGGGAATATAGGAGCGGAGTTCGTCCGTCCGTCCGCTTTTCAAAGGGTACAAATTTCTCAAAAACTATTTTAGTTGGGGAAATGAAATTTTACACACTTATGTTACTGGTCATGATATTAAACGAAATCGACAATTGGGGTCCTAAATTAATTTGTACAGAGTTATGGCCCATGCTATTCAACTTAGTGCATAGTGTCTGCCAAGGGGAAAAGTTTTCTCAAACTACTGAATTACATGAATGAAAGTTTGCATGCTTATCGAAGAGATATCTGTTTGTTATTTAACGCCGTACCCAACAATATGCCAGCTTAATGACGGCGGCATGTACGTGGACCAGACAAATCAGTTCTTAAGAGATACTTGTCAAGACAGAGTTAAAATATTGGTTCCGTAATTTTGTTTTACAGGGTTATGACCCTTGCTCCAGGTTTTCCAACTTGATGCTGTTTCTGCAAAGATGATAAATTTTCTCAAAACATACTGAAGTTGCATGACTGAAAGTTAGCATGCTTATCTGAGAGATACTTGTCAAGACGGGTTCGAAAATAGTAGCCGTAAAATATTTTTTTACACATGATCCTTGATCCATGAGACTTTTCTTAGTGCACAAGGTTTCTCGGAAACTACTGAAGTTACATGAATGAAACTTTGCAAGTTTACCTAAGAGAAACTTATCAAGGCAAAATTCGAATTGGTGCCGTAAATAATACTGAACCGCTAAAGAAACGTCACCCAAAGTAACATTGCATTGTAACATTGTAACATTGTAACATTGTAATTTTTGACACAGTTTCTAAAATTTAACATTACCTTGTCCGGAAAAATGAAATTTGATCATGAAAAACAAAGCAGATGAAAATAAAACCGATCGCCCAATCGCATCATGGCAACGGCCATGGTAACCCGATGCACGTGAGTTCCGTGCAAATTGAAATGCACATGCGTTCCCCCATTTCTTTTCCTATAAAAATCTACCCAGATCGGATAACATTCATTCCTTACTGAATTGCTACCACATGCCAAGATTGTCAAGAAATCAGCGACACCAACCCCTTGGACGACTGAAAGCTGTACAAATCGCCCGGCAAGTTGTAAATGCATTTAAAGTCCACGTAAGGACCATATACAGGCTCCAGCAACTGTACGAGACCACCAACACTACAGATGACCGACCACGTAGTGGAAGACCAAGGGTCATCATTCGACGTCAGGATCGTCAGATTGTGCGACAGCATATTTGTGATCGCTTTGTTACTGCTGCGAAAACTGCTCGACAGACTATGGTGACACACCAGTGACACATTTGTGCGGACGCCGTGCGTCGACGATTGACGAACAGACACTCCACTGTCACAGGCCCCACCGAGGGCCCAATCTGACATCACGTCATCGCCGGGTCCGTCTTCAGTGGGCAACACAGCACCAGCATTTGCGCCACCAGCAGAGGAGAAGAGTCACTGCATCTCAACAGCGGATGGCAGAGAGTCTGGCGACGCCGTGGGGAACGTTATTCGGATGCTTGTGTTGTTGAAAGAGACTCGTGGAGTGGTCTGAGCATCATGGTGTGGGATGGAATTGGTCTTGCACAGAGGGTCGGCCCTGTGGTCTTCCAGAACATCGGCCAAGGGAGGGGCAATGGTGTCACAGCAGCTCGGTACATTGATTAAGTCTTGAGACCACACAACATACCTCATTTGACACTTCGCCGCAACCACGAGTTTAAGCATGATAACGCCCGTGCCCACACTGCGAGAGCAACAAGAGACTTCCTCCAACAGAATGGCATCAGAACCATGAAGTGGCCTGCCCTCATTCCCGATTTAAATCCCATTGAGCACCTGTGGGACGAGATTCAAAGACGGCTGAATGACGTCCGACCAAGGTCGACAACTGCAGCTGAACTACGTCAGGCGTTCCTTTAGGTTGTGGGCTCAAGTGCCTATGGCCTTCACCAACCGTCTCATCCATTCCATGTATCGACGTTGCACGGCAGTTGTCAATGCACATGGCGAACACACAAGATACTGACTTGTGATGCCATTTTCTGAGTCTAGTGTTGTGTTTCACTTTAAGAACATTTGACACTTTAATTTCAACCTTGATGATCAGTTTTGCCAAGTTTCATCTTTTTAATATGTCTCAAAGTATGTTTACAATGTTTGGACATAAGGTTTCTCATATATCTATCTATCCATGGTGGCATTTCTTTTGTGGTCTAGTGTATTATTCTCCAGAGTGTCTTCCATTGCTGCATGTATTCAGATTTTGACCACACACATTTTTTACCCCTGGTCCGTTATTTTACTTCGTGCACAGTGTCGTCTGCAATTGGGACAAGTTTTTCTCGGAAACTAATGAAGTTACTTTCCAAGAGAGAATTGGTGCCATTAAATTATTTTTGTCCAGAAAATGGGCCTTTTATGCGTATTAATTTTATGTTTAATCCGTGTTTTTGATGACACAAAACGACCCTAGAGCCTATTTCTTAAGGCTTTATATAAACTTTATTTCACTACTGTGCGAACAAATAACATTCTTATATGCCCCATGGCATTGAGAGCGTGATAACGCCATTCATATTAGCAACGTCCCACTAGTCATAGGAATAGTGGTAAACAGAAGGGGGTCGGATAACAATGTGATTTGTACATACAGAAGCCATTAGGCCTGGTGCGTTCAAAATAAGCAATCAGCGTTCTGATGGAGTGTTAAGCAGAAACAATTTAGCAGTAAAAGTTGGTTCATTAATGTGTTACACGTGACAACTGAACAGTAATCTAGTAATGTTTGTTTGTTTGTTTAACCCCGCATTCAGCAATATTCCTGATATATTGGGAGGGAATCCTGGGTTTTGTGTTAGAACAGGATATTTTGTCGATCAATGCTTCACACACGGAGACAAACATTGTTAAGAAAAAACAACACTTTTTCATCAAGACATCCGGCATGTGCAACGAACCACATATATTTTGAGGTAAAACCTTAGGACGAAAAGTGTTTTCCTATATGTTTCTGGAATATTTGTTTTTAAAAGAATTTTTGAACGTTTGAGCTTCCTCTTGTTTCAACCACTTTGTAAGTCGTAATAGACACTCCTTGTACCATGTCCTTTTCAGAAGTCTACTAAATGACATGAAGATTGCCACTGTTGAACTGTCCGATTGATTATATCGCAAAGGGGGTGGACAATGGCTAAATGTTTTCAAAGAGCTAAAACATACATGTTAGTAACAAATCCATGTTCCTCTCACAAAGAATCAACTAAAACTAAACAACAAAACAGCGTTTTTATCATTATTCCCTGCTATGGGATACATTAGAATTTTGTTTGTCCATACAGAAGTGAAACGCAAAACGGATATTTTTGCCCATAAAAGCAAAATTAGGGGACAAAGAGGTGCAAAATGAAGAGGTTCAATGTGTCAGTGTCAGAGACAAATTTCACGGATAAAAATGATCACAACATAGACATGCAAACCATTAGGAAAAACGCACCCATTGTATTAACAGCAGCACTATGAACGGTATTAAAGTGCAGGGTTTTTGATTGCCTGGCATCTGCGTCAATCGAACAGTGACAGTTCAAAACAGGCTAAGATTAACAGAAGCAGTGCCGTAGCCAGCCTGGGGGGCAGGGAGTGGTTGCATACTCGTCTCTTCAATGGACAGGAGATGTCAGGCCGCTATCGATTCCAACGGGGGAATACGCGTTCTTGATGGTAGCTGACCTTCACCTTGGGCTTTTCCTATGTACCGATAACTGAGATGACTACAATCACCAGGTGTTCTCTCCACATTTTGGCTCAATACCTTGTACGGTTCCTCCTATAAACATATCTTCCTCCCTCACACAAATCTGGCTTTGCATTTCTTTCTTTTTTAAGAGTATACATTGAGAAAGGGAGGGTGATTCATTCACTCTGTTCATGAAAGCAACCTGTATTTTGGGTTAAGTCCAACTTGTTGACAAGGAATCATGTGTTTGATACATATGCAAGTTTCATAACAAAATATTAAAAGGTTTCCAAGTTATGTTCCAGAAATGAAACGTGGCAGACGGGCAGACGAACATGATAGGGCATAATAAGGGTGTTGAAATTTTTCAATTCTAGAAATAAACAACAGGAGAGCAACAGCACACAATACAATTTAATTAAATGATTACAAGCCATGTACATTTGTATTCCATTGTAATCTGTGTTTTAACCCATTATTCAGCATCATTCCATGTGGTTGTAATGTCCTGACACACATGAATAATGAGTTAAGGCAAAACATAAGCCAACAAACAATGAAACCAGTTCCAAGTTTTAGTGTGCAGAAGCGTAGGTTACACATGACAAACTGTTTCATACTTACACCACTTTGCTGTAACTTAAATACAAAACAAAATACACATTCTTCTTAAGGATGAATACAAAGTGGTTAGGTTAATAATTTCAAGGTCAAAGAACATATGTAAGTGATTATAAGACACAACAAAAGAATTTCATTTAATTATCCAAAAACATTATTAATGCAGAAACTGGGTAACTGTGTTCATTGATGTTTGACAGACGCCTGGGCATAACCAATGTCGCCCCACAGAAAACGTCATCATTTTGAGCACCAAAGCAAATCTATAGAACTAATTTGTTCTTTTGGTATGTACATTATAAATGTACAAAATAAATGTGGGATTAAAGGTTTCCATTTAGAAAATGAATGTATGGCTTGCTGGTTAAGTGTTTAAGAAATAATGTTAAAATAGTTTTCAATGTCAAATTTACAATGGTTTACATTTAAATGCAGTACATTCAGGACATGTTAATATCTGAATACATTTACATCACAGGATTTCATTTCACACTTAGCGATATAAAGGAAAAGCTTGAATGAAAGTGTGCATGTCACATAACTAATGTTTCTAGGATAGATTTTCAAAAGACTAGCAACATTTTACAGAACATTGTTTTTACTACAAACATAATTTTTCAGGCACAGAAATGCCCACAAATGGAAACTAGAGTGTGCAAATAAAGTTAAATAATTCACAACAGAAAATGTGGTCAACTGTCTCATTTAGTAGTACATAACACTGTTGCACATTGTCTATAATAACTAATGCATTTATAACAAAAGGTATTTTGATCTTGTCTGGCTCCGACTCTGAATACCAGCTGAATTTTATGTATCATTCTGAAATATTCAAATCTTTTAGGAAGTACAATGAGCCTTGAATAATTTTACCTGTAAACCAGACACAATTACTGTTGATGTTTTTCAAAGGCTTCATCAAACTATATTGTAGTTTTTCAAAAGAGTACAAATGACAAAGAGCCTTATGTCTTCAAAGCACAGCCAAAGGAAATGTGGTGGGAACAAAAGGACTCGCATCACCATTTGTATTTCAACTGTGAAACATATCCTGATTAAGTAGTGTCACTCATGCGCCATTACAGAGAAGCATAGAATCATACACCAGAGTAATCAAATACACGCAGAAGGGTGGAGACAGAACATGTGGTAAAAGTGGAAACATTAATAACAGTTTTGACACATTTTTAGGCAAGTTTTAATTGAATGTAACAGTTATGCTGAATCAGAAGAAAATTGGGTGCTAGTATTAAAATACTGTCAAAACATATGAAGACAGTGAACAACTAAGGAAATGCCTTCCTCTAACTGTACATATCTAACTAACAAAGTCTAGTATATGCACAAATACAAATCAGGTCTGATGTTAATTTTAAATATCTTTCCATGTCAGAACACATTAATTTGTCTGAAAGCCAAAGCATTGTCTTAAGAAAGCATGAGATCAAATGGCATTGAAACTGTTTTTCAAAACAATGCTGGATATCAACAAACCCAACTTAATGTGAAGTAACTATTCAAGACAAGGTAAGATCTCATCACAACATTCCCCATACTTCAGCACTAAATATTGATCACGTTGTTCAGGCAACTGTCAAAAACATGGGTCAATGAGATTTCAATATATTTTATAGTCATTCATGATGCTTCATACCCAACACTGACGCAAAGTTAGACAATACAAACTGACACTGCTGAATGTTACCAACTGGTCAGCTTAATACCTCCAGTACAGAAGGCAGATGGGGTTTTACATGACTTCCGCAAACAGACTGTTGTGTGACACACATGGGCTTCATAATAGTACCCTTGAAGCAAACAGAAGCCTCATCTTTGGTGAAAGCAAGTGCACATCCCAAAAAACTTTTACCTTCCCCCTTCTGACATGTAGCAAACCAATATTACACATTACTTTCTAAATAAATTAGATACAAATAGAAATTCTAATCAAAACTTAACAAATCAGTTTCAGTTTGAGCACTTTTAAGCTTAAATAGCCTCAACAAAAATATTTTCTTTCATTTGCATTTTTGTGACTATGGTCAGTATAAAATGCATCATTTCATTACATTTTCAAATATACAGATCACAATTCAAGACACCAAAAGTAATGAAACAGCAGATCGATATCATCTTTCACTATCCAAAAGCCAAGTTGATACAATAACATTTGACATAAAGGCTGTACATGTACCAATCTGTGCATGAGTAAATAGAGCTACAAATCAACCCAAATGATCTCACTTAAAGATTCAAGGAGGCTCTAACAAGAAATGCATATTTACTCCAGTGCAAAAGGTTCAGCTGGTTCAACGAGTAACTAGTCAAATATTGGATGTGCCCAAAACATTCTCTCCAATTCAATGATACAAATACAAAGACAAAGTCATTACAAAGTCCCTAATGCACTTTTATCCATCAAAATCCTTTTCTGTATGCATCCAGATGATACTTGAGTGACAGGCAAGGCCTGCTGAGAGATTCGGATCAGGTCAGGATTGAGACTTTGTGCCAAGTATCACAAGTAGTTTGTCCTCCACGCTGGCCACTAGCTTCTTGTTGAGGAGTCTCTCCAGGTGATCCAGTAGCTTCTCACTCGGGTTCAGGGGTGCAACAATGCTCTCATCAGAGATCTCAGACAGACACTCAACTAACAGTTCCACAAAATGACACCTGAAGAAAACAAAATTCATACGATCATAAGAAAGGAAACAGGTTACTGTCAGACAGGTGTATTGCAGACAAGGTTATTGCAGAGTAGTGTGAAATTTACAGTATGCTTATATGGGTCAGTCTCTGATAGATCAAATGTGTAGGATGCTTGTCAAAAAAATTTCTTTTCCTGTCATCTTGCCGAGGCAACAGACTATAAATGTCCAGTTTCCACCCTTGCCGTACTACGCTGGAATTTTGTGGCTCGATCATAGCACCACCAGTGGCTATTACAAGTTATGTCTCTTTTTTATGTCCCTTTAAGTGACCAATCAGATTCAACTTCTCATATCACTTGTATTTGCTTCAAACAAAATGTTGGAGTCCAATCAATAAGATCTGAACGATAATCAAGATCTATATTGTAATAAAACGGGTCTTACCTCGCGAAGTGCATCAAATCATTTGAGCACCTTGACTAAACATGAAAAGATTTGGAAAATATTTGTTGACGCCCAGTTGACAGTACACATGCTTTGCAAATCCTGCAGTCAATGGGAATCTGCATGTTGAAATCCATGTTGTTTATGAATTCGATGTCTAGTTCAAGTGTTAGAAATTGGCACTAGTCCTGTAGTCCTTACCAAACTGCCCAGTAGTAAAGGTATCCTAAGGACTAGTAGAAATTGTCCCGTTTTTGAGGGTTTTGCTATATGTTATCATTATAAGGACTAGTGGACAAAAACTGTTAGTTTCTAACCCTGTAGTTCATTTTGATTGAACTATGCATAGACTCGTTAGTCCAGACAAAATGTAACTCCAGAGTTCAAGCCAAGTTCGGTAAGGGTGGAAACTGGACTTTTGTAGAAGATGTTTGAAAACCACCAAGACACCACTTCTATTGATGTATCCATCAAGTCCTTACAAAGATCTGACCAAGCAGATGTGATGATTATGGCCTCTATGTCCACAGGCAATCGCCTACATCCCAAAATTCATATATGTCTCACAGCTAATGTAAACTTTCTAACCTGTGAGCATATGTAAGGAAGCAATATATGCAAGTCCTATCAGTCTTTGCCAGAACAGGGTAATATGCTGGGGTTTAACAGTTTTTAGCTGTGTTCCAGTTTATTATCCTGTGACAGCTCAAATAGACATGTTCCACAGACCTGTGACCACAGAAACGGTTCTGACTGGATCATAGTCATCCACATTCTCACTCACACGGCCGTCGATCACCGGTCATAGACCAGATAAAAATTTCAATTTGTTTAAGTTGTCAGACTTTTGACCGATAGAAATGCTAAGCAAGGGGTCACAAGTGCCATAATTTCATGATTAAGAAGTAAATAGTAAGGATCAGGGATGTGAGCAGGTTTTCCCGAGGAAAAATGTAGGGGGGTTTGGGGGCATGCTTCCCCAGAAATTTTTTAAACATTTGATTGCATTTTAAGCAATTTCGTGCAGTTTGGACAACATTCACACCAAGAAATGTAATAAGTCAATGGCAAAAGTCAATAAGCCAAATAAACAAGATGGCAGATGCAGTAAAATTTCGAAGTTAAATCAGTACTTTTAAAAAATTGTGCATAGCTTCCGCGCACCTGGCTACCCACCAGGTCTGGGAGCAATACTGCCATAAACTTCAACCCCCATCCCCCAGACACAAGGACAACTGTCACAAGCGTGCAATGTCTGACCCTTTCCCCATGTTGAAGCATATTGAAAATAACTTACCTTGTACTTACTTACCTATTGTTGAAAAAGACCAAAACTCCATTGCAAACATAAGACATTAATACAACATATATCCCCATGTTATGGGTTTTTGGACACTGAAGAAACATTCATAGTTTTCTCGCTAATCACATGAACTGTAAAACATCTCATTCACTTACAGGCTAAAAGACAAATTTATCTGAAAAACAAGCCATCATCTGACTCAGAGTATAACAATTACTGTGTGACGCCACACCCCACGTTATAGTGCAAGTATTCGTGATAGAAAACTTATGATACCCGAAAACCTATGCTGCTGAAAGCTCTGGTCGAAAACAGGACAATCCGCGACGGCTGTCCGGTTTTCGATCATATTTTTCAGAGTGTATTTTTTTAAATCTTTGAGTATATTTTTACGCGGAAGATGTTTTTTTCCCGAGGACTACTGTTTTAAAAAACGTGATTTTCCGCGTTTCCGCGGAGATTTCACATCCCTGAAGGATTATTCCTACTTACAGTATCAATTTTAATGACCGATGAAATGCTCTCAAAGTTTCGTGTCAATCGAGAGAATGTACAGTACACATATTGTCCTGTTTTCGATCAGAGCTTTCAGCACGATATATGCCTTTATTCTTATTCATGACACAATACTATTATAGTCGATCACAGGATTTCGGACATCATACGTTTTCTATCACAAATACTTCCACTATAATGATGGGTGTGGTGTCACACAGAAATTTGTCCTTTATAAGTGAATGAGATGTTTTACAGTTGTCCATGTGATTAGCGAGAAAACTATGAATGTTTTTTCAGCGTCCAAAAACCCACAACACAGGGAATATATGTTGTATTAATGTCATATGTTGTTTTGGGTTTTTTTAAGAAAAGGAAAGTAAGTACAAGGCAAGTTTTTTCAATATGCTTCAAGGGTCAGACATTGCACGCTTGTGACAGTTGTCCTTGTGTCTGTGCAGTATTGCTCCCAGACCTGGCGGGTCATTGACCCTTATATAGGCTTTTGTGTCAAAATCGCTGGATTGTCCATTTCGATTATTTGGAAGCCACCTCTTATTCTTTTGATGGTGTTTACAAACTTCAGGCACCATTGATAGGAACAAACCGTGAAAAGTCTCAACTGCAGTGGCCATGTGGTTTCAGAGAAAAGGTCCACTTCAATAATTACAAAATGCCCATATTTAATGTCAGACAAGCACACATATTGAAACCCATACATGGCTGTAATGATTTGAAAATGTAACTCCGCAGACAAGCTGGAATGGTGGTCTCACGCAAAAAACATTTTAATCGTTAATCAAACAAATGTTTAGCTCCAAAACAGCAAATGCAGATTCATGAATTGAAATAAACACAAACCGATCAACCATAATCAAATACAACTTCGACTCACCAGTTTGTTTGCAGCTGATTATCAATATCAACAGGAGAGGTATTCTTGTAAATTTCTTCCATTCTGACCAGCATTGCACACAATATGGTGGAGCCAAACTGTCAACAGAAAAGTCATTGATTCCATACGTTACAAGTGGACATTAACATATAAACTGAGGATTTTATCAGGTTCCCAAGAACATTCTCTGCAGGAAATGATAATGACTCCGCTGCATTTTGGAGAAAATAATGTGGTTTTAGAAATTTCTATTTTAAGAAAAGAAAACCAACACAGAACACAAACATTTAAAAAACTACATCATTCTTTGCCATGATATACAGTAGAGCATACATGAATATGTTTAAAATACCCTACCTGTGAAAAAAGAAACCTAAGAAATTTTGTCCCATATTAGTGATTTAAAGTATGAAAAGAAATAGGAAAATGTCTGTTGTCACTCTGAGTTGACGTAACTCAAGGTAGGTAATGTTTAAGCAAATATATTTGAGTCAAATTGGTCTAAATACATACTGTACGATTGAGGTGATCTTTAACCGGTTATGGTTGAAGCATGTTGATTGTTATCTAAACAAATTGTATCTGGTCTTTAGTTTCCAATATTGCTTGTTTAATTTATAATTCAATTTCTTTTAAAATGTGTATTTACAAGTAAACAAAAAGCCAGTTTAGCATTGTGAATTAACCTGACACAAACGTTATGCCCTAGTGATAAATAAAGTGAAGCCATTTTTCACCCAACCCTCTGGTGGACCCAGACAGACCTTATTTTGCAACATGGCTGTTATTGCTTTTCCCTGGCTTTGCATCTGATGGATCTGTTCTCCCACTGTGGCCAGCATTTCAAATGAACTCTTGTTGAGAGCTTGATGAACAGAATCTGTCAGCATTATCTGGCCCTGAAACAAGTTTTGGAACATTCATTATTCCTTGTCAGTGTCGGGGAAATGACGTCTAATCCCAACAAGCCGGGCCGGTTACTCATAAATGTATATATTCAAAGTTCCAAGCCTGCATTTTAACTACATGCTAGAGTAGATAATCACTCTTGTTTTTCTGCATGCTAGAGTGGATAATCACTATCATTTTTCTCTGTACTTTTAAAGCAAGGTAGAGCCTGCTAATAAAAAATTGAGTCACTTCTGAATGTACAAATCAAAATTGTCATTGTACCATGAATTTTCTACAAGACAGTCAGGCAAGTAGGAATACATTTCACCTATCCCGCCAGAAATGTTACAGGCCACACAGTATAGTGGGGAAGCAGCTATTTCGGGCACTGTTCCTTGTACATATATTGGGCAAGTTAATGACTGTTTTATAAAATAATTATAGTGTGACTCTTCCAGCTATACCACTATTGCCTGTAAATAATCCAGCCTCGGCAAGGCCACCAGCGCCAATCAGCCATTGCAACCACTATGTCCATACAAACTTAGTAAAATCTAAATATTTTTTACATTTGTATACTTATCCTGCATTACTCCTTAATGCATTCACTGCTTACTTACGACAACTAGAAGGACAGCGCTGCGAAGGTCCTGGGTGAAGAAATAAAGTTGTTGTTCTCAAGTCCCAATCAGTGGCCTTCCGTCGCTGTCCTGTGACCTTGATGACACCTAAGGTCATCTTCACATCACTGCCTGTCGCCCAAGCTCTTAGGAAAACATACTTTTGAGGTTTCTGAAGCCAAAGTGGGGAGGCAAGTCTAACGACGGGTGGGCCTTAAGCGTAGTAATGCAGGATAAGTATACAAATGTAAAAAATATTTAGATTTTACTAAATTTTTTACTTATCCTGCATTACTCCTTAATGCATCTGTATCGGACGGTTTGGAGGTGGGTCAACCTTCAGAATACAGAAACCTCAATAATTCACACCCTGCAATACGACACCAGTTGGTCGATAAACCGTGAAGCGGAAAAGTTCAGACAAAAACGCCATTACGGTAGGGTTGTTCAAAAATCAAAAACATTGAACATAGGAATTAAAGAGAAATTCCCTATACACGCTTAGTAATAAAGAAAATAATAGCTATTCAGCTAATTCTTTACTTACTGCGTCATAGAGCGGTCGCTGACAAACAAGATTGTCTAATATTCTTCCACTGGTGGCGACTGAGTGACTGCACATGGAAGTTGACTGGCTCTGTATAGGGCGAGTTCATTATTTGCGTCAGTGGTTGGCAATCTGCAGGATAACAACCAGAGGGCCAAACTTCGAACGTCTTTGACATCCTCGAGAGTCACAACGCGAAAGTTATGACTAACGAAAATATGTGTCGAATCTCCAGAAATATCCTTCCGTGATTGTTCCAAAACCACAATTGCCGTGTTGAGCCCTGGTAAGGCTGACACCTTGAGATCTTGAGGGTAATTCGCTCTCGGCGAGTTCCGTTTGATGATCTCGTAGGCCTGAAGGATTACTGCGTGTAACCATATAGATATGGTGTTTGCGATTATGCGACTAACTTCTGTCGTGGACGAACCACGCCTTGTCTTGGAGCGTCGAATGAAAACTCGAACTGCTCGCACCGAGCCCAGGAGAACTTCACCATGTACGATTCCCACAATAGTCGATATCCGTGGGATGGTGAAGAACGGTCGGGTTGGCCTGGTAGTAGATTTTAGCAATAAAATCCCAGCATAACCCTAGATGTCCTGTTCCGTGCGTCCCATGCTCAAAACGGATCCGGGTTGAGTCGACCACATGTAGTTCGCTCACCCGTACCGCCATTGCTAATGCCAAGAGAAACCATTGTTTCCTTGGTGATGTCCAAGCTCCTCACAGCGATAGCCCGTTCGCGGAGCTCTCTATACTATACCGAGAGTGTAACGAAGGTGTCACGCGCTGGGAAGGAGCTTGAAAATGAGGATGCAATGAGGGGCTCGATGGGGGCCCTCGCAAACCTCGAAGTACCACGTTCAAGTCCCAATCAGGTGGCTGGAACTTGGCCTTCTGATCCTCAAACCTGAATGAGCATAATATGGCCTGTAGTTCCGTGACCTTAATCACACTGTGATTTTCCGGAAACGGCCAACACTAAGATAATTGCAGCCAATTACGTAGTAATGGTGCTACCTTCCAAGTGTTTTTGGGTACGCAATGTAGGAGGTATTCCTCTAGGAATTGTGACGCAATCGTAGGGTCTTGATTCTTTTCTTCCCTGTAAAAAGTCTCAAGTGATCCCCACTTGTCATCGTCGTCTCTGGGAGAGTAACGATGAACTAAAGCTATAGCTTTGCTGCCCGTCTCGAAATATCCCTTCGCACTTAAACGCCTTTTAAAGACGAACCATGCGTGCAGACGTTGGGTGAGGCAATTTTCTGTTGAGGGTGGATGAGTAGGTTGGACCACTGTGAGAGGGGAAGTGAATCGTTTTAGATTTTTCCGAGCTTGACGAACTACCCTCTCGCCGGTTACCATGGTGCGACCAAAGGAGAGATCGAGATACCTTGTCTCCTTGATCCCCTGTAGCACCTTGGGAAGTAAAAGTGGTGGCAGAAGAGTGTTAGTTCTTTGCCCTTCCCAAGTGATACTGAACTCGTCCACCGCCCAAGTCTGCGGATCCGGCAACGGGGAGATATACGTCATGAGTTGGTGGCCTAGGCAAGTAATAAACAAGTCAATGTTTGGTTGCCTGAATTCCTGAAGCAGTAACTGGAATGCTTCTGTGAGAAATTTCCACTCAGTGGGAGCCACCCTGTCTGGACGTGATAAAGTATCGGCCAGTATGTTTCTACATCCGGGGATGTGCTGAACTATGAACCTTAGTCACAGCCGATCCACTAGATGGAAGAAATCTGAATGTCCTTAGAAGTGGAGTGGGAGTGTGTTGTTCCCCGATTGCACAGGCACCACACCGCAGTGCTGTTGTCTGTGGATATAGCGAGTCGGGCTAACTGTAGTTGATTCTGCCAATGTGATATAGCCAGAATTAAAGCTTCCAACTCCAAGTTGTTTATGTGCCACTTCCATTGTGCGCCGGGCCATAGCCCTGAGCTTATCTGGTCTTGTAGGTGAAGACTCCACCCCTGAAAGAGGACGTCCACAAACAGGTGTGTATTCGGGGATGTTCCGAATAAACAGACTCCGCAGACATTCAGCGCCACAAATTGAGGCTCTAGCTTAGTTGGTAGAGTGATGGCCTTGAGTGGATCCTGACTCCTGATGTAAGGGTTCAGGAAAAAATTGAATTGGTCGCTGTTGTAAGCGGCCCATGCTAGTTAACTCCTGTGCCGAGGTGATTAACCCTAGCAACACTTGCCACTGGCGAAGTGTGTGTGGTTGGTGTAGAGTAGATGACAAAAGAAGTAGAAACTTGTGCCATCTGTCCCTCGGTACAGATAGGATATCCTGGTCTGTCTTAAACAGGTCTCCTATGAACTGAAGTCAATAGGAAGGAGAATACTCCCGACTTCGCCTCGTTGATTGTCTATCCCAGTTATTGACATGTGTTGATGATACAGTAGATCGCCCTCCATCTACGACTCGAACCAAGTGTTCGTCACGTGTAGATAGTTATTGGCTTCATTACTCCTGTAAATAGCCATAAGTGTCACTGACATGTCAAATGGGAAATACTACCATTGGTAGTGAACCCCAATGAACTGGACCTGAAAAGTCTACGGTTGGGATGGATAGTCGAGACTGATGAAGAATCAAACGTTCGTTGAACAGAGATTGTGGATCATTCTCATCTTGTCTGGGTCCTTCATGAGTACCAGGTAGGTGTGAGGATAAAACCCCGGAGTAAAGACTGGGTTGTGAACCCACTCTACAGCTCTTCTTACCAACAGTATGTCTATGTTGGATTTTCCCAATCAAACTGTGGTCAACGGTGGGGTTAACTCTACCCTTATACGGACACCATGATATAGTGCGATAAGTACGAAATCGTCCTTGAGACTTGTCTCTGCCACTCCCTTTCTCAGTAAGGGAATGCTGGTCTTCCCTGAGAAACGCGTGTCTAGGCTTATAATTCCCTGACTTGGACTTTCCAAGCTTTTTGGGAACTTGACGTGCGTGTCTGCGATCTGTTCGTTGAACAGGGGAGTAGATGATCAAGGTTGACGTAAAAGACTGCCCTTGAAACCAGCATCTCAGTTGGAAACGCTATAAAGTCTTGGGTGTAACGGTTATCACCGTCAGAACGGTCTCAAGATGAATTTTCCTGTGGTCAAACTGACGCTGTAGGAAAAACACCATAGTTTGGAAGTGATCTAATCAGATAGGGTTATCCTCTAATAGATTCTGATCCACTGCAAACATTGACAATATTGGTCGCTTAAATCACGGAGCAAATGTGAGTTTTGGAGAAGGCTTCCTCCAATGACCTCGTGGTGTCCCTCTTATTTACCCTGTTATCAGGGGAGGGCGTTACTGACACGAGATGGTCTGCTTCCCAATCGGGTACATGTGCTAAGCTGATCATGTGCCGGTTACGTAACCGAGTACACTGTAAGCCTTGGGCTAACGTCATTGTAGAGACCTTGATTGATACGCAGACGCTGCGCTCAGCGCAGGTCTGGAATGTTGGAACAGCGCTAAGCTAATCGTGCGTCACTGGCGTGATAGGAGCGCTTGGGTATCAGTCAGACGCTGCGCTCGGCGCAGGTCTATGCTGGATATGTTGGAACAGCGCTAAGCTGATCGTGCGTCACTGGCGTGATAGGAGCGCTTGGGTATCAGTCAGACGCTGCGCTCGGCGCAGGTCTATGCTGGATATGTTGGAACAGCGCTAAGCTGATCGTGCGCCGATTGCGTAATAGAAGTGCTTTGGTTGTAGTCAAGTGCTGCGCTCGGCGCAGATAAATCAGACACAAAGCTCAAAAGTATTGACTGGATCAAGGCTTGTGTCTAATCTACCCCCATCATAGCATCTCGATACGCTGGTGCTGTCGCCGACGTCACAGATTATCATACATGTATCTGGAAGTGTCCGGCGGCTGAAAAAATAGGAGCAGTTACGATACTCACAAAATCCTCCGGTATTGTTGATTTCGGTGGATGGTGTACTTCTGCAATCACAGTCGTCATAATACCTGCCGATAATAACGGTTGGGTGGTAATGACAGAACCATATGTCATTCGCTATTCTGCGATAGTGACATTCCTCTCGTCTCACGACGGAATAACTGCAAAATATGATTGTGAGTAATCTGCTTTTATATAGTAAACTCGTTGGATTAGAGATTTACATAAAAATTACATTTTGAATTTTGGCGAGCACATCTACGTGCATGCCTATGACCGTGGATAAAGAGCTTTGGGCGATTATTCCACGACAATATGTACACCGAGCAAACATAATTATGTTACGCAATTAAACCATTGAAGAAATGGTACTGAAAGAATGCCGTAGAATTGAACAGTAATCTATCGGCAAAAATACGAATTGCAAGGGTATACAATATTTTTATATACGCAATTCAATGTAAACCAAGGCTATTTACATTTAGAGATTGGAGAGCACATCCGCGCACAAACCAACCAATCGTGGATGATAATCTTGTAAGGTTTTTTCCACGACAATTAGTAAAATGCTCAAAGGTATGTTACGCAATGAAACCCTTGTTGATGAGATAATACTGGAAGAGTGCCGAAGAATTTGAACACTAATCTATCGGCAAATTTATGAGTTGCAAGGATATACAATATTTTTGTATGCGCAACCCAATGTAAACCAAGGGTATTTATATTTTCATTTAGGGTTTGGAGAGCACATCTGCGCGCAAACCAAACAACGTTGATGATAATCTTTGTAAGATTTTTCCCACGACAATTAATACCACGCTCAATCATAAGTTACACAATTACATATATATATGTATATTCAATGTCTGTACATATAGAGTAGGGAAAGGGCCACCTAAGTTGGATAACTTTTGCCCAATCCCGTTGACCATATATGTCAATAAAATATGTTTAAATTAAACACAATTACGCCATTGTTGATGAGGCGGTACTGGAAGAATGCCATAGAATTGAACAATAATCTATCGGTAAAAACTACGAGTTGCAATAGTATACAATAGTTCATATACGCAACTCAATGTAAAACCAAAAATACCAACAAAAAACTATTTAATCGCATAAACATAGGTACGCAATAAAAGAATTGTTGATGAAGCGGGACTGGAAGAAAGCCGTAGATTTGATATTAATCTATCGGCAACCATATTTTTAACGAGTTGAAAAAGTATACAATAATTTTAGTATACGCAACTCACTGTTACGCCAAAGCTAGTAGTATTTAAAAACATAAGAATATGTTATACATACGTAGCTGAGAATTGTAAACAATATGACTACCTTGGCAGGCAAACGATTGTAACACAATTCAAAATGGCGGCGAACAACAATTTTTTGGCGGGAAAAAAGACAAGCGTCTTTTCACGCCTAATTAATTCACATAAAACTACACAACATGGTGAAAGTAATATGAAAAGAATACATCACCCATCGCAGATCAATTTTTAAGATTGTAGACAAACTGAAGGTCTAAAATTAATCCAAAAGGAGAGCTCCGCTTGGACACGTCCTAGCTGTGCTGCGACAAGCAGTGATGTGAAGATGACCTTAGGTGTCATCAAGGTCACAGGACAGCGACGGAAGGCCACTGATTGGGACTTGAGAACAACAACTTTATTTCTTCACCCAGGACCTTCGCAGCGCTGTCCTTCTAGTTGTCGTAAGTAAGCAGTGAATGCATTAAGGAGTAATGCAGGATAAGTAAAAAATTAGCTCTTATGACAATGTTCATGTCAATCACTGGATTGTCTGGACCAGACTCAATAATTTACAAACCATCATGTAGGTTAAATATTCCAGGGTGCGCCGGTAAACACCAAACAAATCTCAACAAAGAGTAATGAAATGTGACGAAGTAATCTTTGTCTCCAGCACTGATGAATCTAGATATCAGCATATCCTTAAGATGACTTCAAAAGACAGATCTGCATTAGATCGTAATTACATGATCTTAAAGAAACAGTACAGAGCAGCTACAACGGGGCAGAATTGAGAGTTTGTTTTTTGTTGATTTGAACAGTATTTCAGTCCTTATAACCATGGCAACTCAATGTGGGAAGAAAGAAGAAAGACCAAAGAACCAAGCATATACCGCATATAATACTGCACATGTTTATCACTTGGTTCAACCCTACAGCACAATATGGTCCTGACAGACCTAGGACTGGTGTCATCTGGAATAAGAAACTCATCCTGGCATGGTTAACGGATGCAACTCTGTAGGTCATTGGGCCCAATGGGACATCTGCAGGAATTATAACCTGAACAATGAACAATTTGGAGCTCACCTCTTCTGCTTGATCTTTCCTCATGAGTTGTGTGAGGTTGCACAGCATCAGGGAGACAATAATGCACTGCTGAGCCTGCAACAGACAAAAGCAGTTGCTACAAATAACTCATCAAGGCAGCAAGAAACAGGTTGTGTTTCAAGATACTCAATCTTTTGTTTCAACAGAAACACTTGCAACAATAATATGTATAGCTAATGAATGAAAGCGTCACTAATTTTAGTGAAACTGGCAGCGTCCTGGCATATTGTATGTTTGAACTATGTTCAATTTATGGGACAAGGGTGCAACCAGATTCTGTTTGGTGCAACTTGGTTTTCACGGCAACATGCACCTGGAGCAAGTTAAATCAAGTTCCTTAAATCAAGGACTGTGTATGGTGGCAATGACCCTTTTTACATAGTGTTCACTGCTAACTGGCTTTAAACAAGTACAGTCAAACACCACTGAGTCATTCTATGATGTGTCGGAACTGACGGTTGGTCCCAACTCATTCCTTCTTTATTCATCATTTTTTGGTTGTGTTGAACTTCGGATAACTAAAAGTATTTACTTAGGTCTCTTCAACTTCAACACAAGGGTGTTTGACTGTTGTAGGTATGACATATTCCATTTTCATTCAGTAAATACTTACAGGATCCAGCAAAGGCAAGACTCTTGAAAGGAGTTTTCTCCCTTTCCTTACAGACATGATTTGAATAAATGTTTCAATGTTATCATCAGCAGACAGGAAGGCAAACAACTGATCTACTTTCTCCCTCCTTTCAAAGACCAGAGGCATCCTGGAAAAAAAGCACTAATTAATTTTAAGGCAACATCATATTGCAAAGTGAGTTACTTGGATGTCAGAAGTCATTTTCCCCGAGACAAGGGAGTTAAATCACTATAGAAGTCCAGTTTCCATCCTTGCCGAACTAGGCTGAAATGATGGGAGTTATATTTCTGCTGGACTAATGAGTCTATCTATAGTCCAATCGAAATCGTGTAACAAAATCTACATCTGGTTTGTAAACTGCCATGCAGATGTTGGTGGAATGCAGGCTTTGCAAAGCATGTGTACTGTCAGCTTAGTGTCAACAGATATTTTCCAAATCTTTTCATGTTTTTAATCAAGATCACAATACAGATCTTGATGATTGATCAGGTCATGTTCATTGAGTGCCACCATTTTGTCTAAAGCAAATGCAACTGACATGTGATATGGAATCCAGACTTCTAAAATGTACAGTCAAATTATTCATATTTATCTCAACTTAGGATCTATTCAGTCCTATAGACCGAGGTCATTACACATGTAAATCTGAAGAGCTTATTAAAAAAGTCACAGAAATGTCCGTAAGTCAGCTTCTCACACCAACAGTCTGTGCCTACATCACACCTACAACCTATGCCTACATCACACCAACAGTCTACTCCTACTACAGTCTACATCACACCAACAAGCTATGCGTACATCACACCAACAGTCTATTCCTACATCACACCAAGTCTACTCCTACATCACACCAACAGTCTACTCCTACATCACACCAACAGTCTACTCCTACATCACACCAACAATCTATGCCTACATCCCACCAACAATCTATCCCTACATCACACCAAGTCTACTCCTACATCACACCAAGTCTACTCCTACATCACACCAACAGTCTTCTCCTACATCACACCAACAATCTACACCTACATCACACCAACAATGTATGCCTACATCACACCAAGTCTACTCCTACATCACACCAACAGTCTACTCCTACATCACACCAACAATCTATGCCTACATCACACCAACAGTCTATGCCTACATCACACCAACAATCTATGCCTACATCACACCAACAGTCTATGCCTACATCACACCAACAATCTATGCCTACATCACACCAGCAGTCTACACCTACATCACACCAACAGTCTACAACTACATCACACCAACAGTCTATGCCTACATCACACCAACAATCTATGCCTACATCACACCAACAGTCTATGCCTACATCACACCAGTCTTTCCCCCTTCGTACCTGCTTTCTTCAGGCAGCGCCAGCAGTTTTTTCTCCAGGTCGTCAATATCAAGCAGGAGGAGAAATCCCTAACCAAAGGAAACAAATATTTCACATTTCTAGATAAACATATGAACAATGTTTAAAAAGTCTCCTAATAATGTTCAACTGACTTTTGACACACAAATAAACTTATTGATTTTTGTAACATAATCTTTCACACAGATTACCTTCTCAATGTCCATGAGCAATTGGCGCACTCGTCGCAGTTCCTTGCTGACGTTTTGAGGGTTATCCTCCTTCGACTGAGCTACATTCTTGGACAGATCAATGATTGTTCGAGGGTTGTGAACACTGGCAGTTGTTAAACGGCCTAATGAACCTTCGAACTGAGCTGGAAAACATAACACATAACAGTTACATAACCATGTGTGGCATATCAACAGTTTGGGAGTTACAGCACATCATCTTACATTTAAGTTCATATTTATTCTTATCTTTCTCACCTGGTGTGTAAGCTTTTGTTTCCACTTTCGCAAGGTTTGGTATGACAAGCTTTGGATCATCATCACTGAACTCCCCATTCTCACGTAACTTCTGTCTCTCCTTAGCTTTCTTCTTTAGTGTATGATACTAAAGAGAGAAATGTGATTAATGTTTCGCTTATAGCAGATCTCCAGATTCTGTTGGCTCTGGAAGTCATCAAGGGTAGGTTTGGGGAAAATGAGCTCCATAACAGCACTTACAGCTTTCATCATCAATACAAATTTGTGTTTAACTATCTGTCGGCTTCTTCTAACATGTAACTTTGGTGTATTCAGAACAAGAACTATTTGGCTAGTGGTATTCTGGAAGGTTACAAAAGCTAGAGCACTCTAGCCAGATTTATTCTGCAAGGTTACAGCTGCTAAAACTATCTAGCCAGTGGTATTATGCATGGTCAGAGCTGCTAGATGTATCTAGCCAATAGTAAACTGACATTGCTTAGCTGACAGATGACACTTGGTCTACCAATCTGACAATGAACTGCTCAGAAACAACAAATGTTTTTTATCGACTGGCAAGACAAGACAAAATGGTCCCAAACAAATTTAATCATCCCACTATTTGCCCCCAAGTCACACCCATGACTCCATACGGTTCATCTTACAGTGTAGTAGTAGTCGTCGAGGTAGGGGTTATCAGTCTGCAGCTGCATCAGCTGTATCTTGATGATCCAGTCCTTTTCCTTCTGTGTCATCAGGCCGTCGTAGCTGTCTTCGTGGGACTCATCCATGTCCTGCTCCATGAAGTCCTCGTGATGTTGCCTGCTGCGATTGTCACTGAAGTAGCGATTGGGATTGTTGTTGTTCTGGCCATGGGGGTGCCCCGGATTCTTGTGGTAACTACAAATACAACAACATTTGCCATTGTTGAAGTAAAAGTTGCTGTAGTAATTTGATGTTTCTCCGGAATGCAACATCATGACCTTAACGATGACCTTGACTTTTGATATACATGGCACATATATTTTTGTAAAGATACATACATCCGTAAAGTTTCTGTCAAGGTAACCATGCCTCAGAAACTGACTATCATATGACCTTGACTCATGAGATTTTGTTTGTTTAACGCCGCACTCAGCAATATTCCAGCTATATGACGGGGTCTGTGAATAATCGAGTCTGGACCAGACAATCCAGCAATTGACATCATGAGCATCGATCCAGGCAATTGAGATGACATGCATCAACCAAGTCAGCGAGCCTGACAATGCTAGAGAAGGTACATACCAAGTTTAATGATAAATGCATGAATATGATTTTAGAAAGCGTAACCACAAACTTTGTGGCGAGTTTTTTCTACCACGTGATCTAATTCTATGACCTCTTCATGACATGTACCGAAGTAATCCCCAAGAATCATTTGGTAGAAGTTAATGGCAGAATAATCTCTGAATGTCACATTTCAACAAAACCTTATAGCACAGGGTTGTTAGTAATCCAGGAAGGATTGTTTATTCCTGAAAGATGATGGACACATTGTGGAACTCACTAATTGTTTGGATGATATGGTCCTCCCCTGCCTGGACGGGGGCCTCTCATACCATGAGGGTCTGACATTGGTGAATGATGGGGGAACCTGGAATATTCAACACAAACAATTCTTCAAAGTTCCTTCTTGAAACAATAGCAGGGTATGTTTTCATTCTGTTTAACAACCTGCACCAGATGCAACCAAGAGAATCAGGTTGCACCACCAAAATATGGGCTGCACCATTCTATCATAAATTGAAACACTGTATTTTCAGTCATTTGAATAATAAATAAATTCAAAGACAATAAACTTGAGAATGTACTGGAGTATTTTATTTTGGTGAAATCTGTATATGGCTTTTCATATCTTGATACCCAGTTACCACCCTAACAGAAGCAGATGATTACCACTCTGGTGAAACCTAAGAGAACTGGCAAACCAAGTACAAGATCAGGGAAATCAGGTCGATTCTCAGACTTCGAACCCATGTCCATAGGTTTCTGACAAACCTATGGTATACCGCAGATGACTTAGGCACCTGTACCCCTCTTCACTTAGTGTGATATCAATTTGTCACAGCTATTCAAATGTAACCCTCAATATGCTACATGCAAGTTAATTGCTATTTGTTTCTTGTTTAACGTCACACTCAATATTCCAGCTAAATGATGACTTATGTAGCGATGTACATACATGTGTGTGTGTGTGTGTGTGTGTGTGTGTGTGTGTGTGTGTGTGTGTGTGTGTGTGTGTGTGTGTGTGTGTGTGTGTGTGTGTGTGTGTGTGTGTGTGTGTGTGTGTGAGAGAACTTCTCCGGACTAGTGCCGGTTTTATGGTGCTAGCATACTGAGATACTATGCTGCAGTTTAACATGAATACTCCACTCAGACACAGCATATACTGACTCTGAACCGAGCAGACCTTGTTTAAGCCCCTTAATGCCAAGCGGCAGGCAGGGTAACAACAAGTACCAGCTTTTAATGTATGAGGCGACTGGGGATCACATCCCGGACCTTCCACTCTCTGGGCGGATGCTCTACTCCTAGACCACGGAGGCGGTCCGTGCACCTAGGACTCAGTCACACAAATATGTTATAGAACTTCAGCTAACTGAGCATGCAATGAACAAAATTGAGCATAAATGTCAAGGGGTTCTTGCAATGACCTAAACATTTGGAGGGTCCCTGAGCTAAAATACTGGGATTTTTTACTTTCGACCAGTACTGGGACGACTGCTGCAGGAACTTACCTCTGGCCTGGACTGCCCATTGGACAAAAGGGCATGGGAACACGGTGACCTCTTTGTATTATGATGGGGCTCGTGAACGATCGGTTTGCATTTCCTGAAAGACATATTATTCCACCTTGAAAATAATCCAATCAGTAACTATGGCAATTGGACATGTTAACATCATCACCCTGACAGTGAGGTAAAACTTAACTCTCTTCTGTTAAACAATGGCACCTTGGAGCAAACAATTTTGTTCACTAACATATGCCTTAACATATGATTGAGAAACAAGCTGGAAGCATAACTATCATTTCCATTTAGGAGCTATATTTTACAGCAATAGTCAATAATAGTTTAAGGCCAACAAAAATATTTTAAAAACTTGCGGCAGGGGAAACAGCCTTTTTCGTCATCTGTAATTACTTGGGGAAAAAAAAATAATTTGAGGTGGAGTGTACGGTAGTGCGTGAGTTAGGTATTGACAATAACACTGCTCCAGTTAGATCACGCTGTGTCAGTTTAATGTGGGAGGAAAGGCCAAAGTGATGCAGGTCATGTTTACCACTTTGGTGAAACCCACCAGCATGAGTATGGTGCTGACAAACCTAGAAACGTAATCGAGGTGAACCGGGATTCGAACCCACTACTATGAGTTTCTGGCTTACTAAAGGGCGCAACTCTACAAAGCAAATTGTAGAGCCTTAGATGACTGGGCCAGCCGTGCCCTTGTGTTTGGTAGTGAGATGAAAATCTAAAAACATTAAGCATGAATATGGTCTAATGTATGGATGACCACTGGATTGCACTTAGAGTATTACATAATCTGGGCTTAATCTAAGTGTCCAGGTGCCATTAATTCTGTGCACACATGTTAACTACTGTGCTAAACTTTCAACTTGCTTAAAGAAAAATATTAAGTCTTTCAAAACATAATTAATTCCATTTGTTGATGTGCTAATGAACAGTGATAATTCAGAAAAAGTGTAACTTGAACATCCAGGGTTTTGCACACTGTTGTAGGTATGTAAGTATATACATACGATGGAGACCATGAAGATGAATTATTAATATAGAGGATTGGATCTTCATGCCACAAGTCATCTCATGCATCAAAACTGGAATGTATCATATTAAAACAGAGACACAGTTGGTATTTATTCTACAGAAAGGATGAATCATACTTCTCTTGGTCATAATAATACTGTTTCTGATTCAATGTTTACAGGGAGTAACAGCAATCCATTTCAGCAAGGATGTCAGCGTTAGAAATTGGCACTAAAGTACTCACGGAAATGCAAAAAAACTTTTTTCGATCTCAGATTTTAAATAAATGCAGTTAATATACAAAATATATAAATATTCAAACAACTCAATTAGTACTAATTGGGCCTTTGCACAAATACAGCGTATCAAAGGTTTTTATGTCTTTTTACACGTAAAAGTGAGTAAAAATATGAACAAAACAGACTATTGTGAAACTGAGCATAACCAGGTGTTAGTAAATCAAAGTGAATGTCCATGACTTATGACACCTTGACGACAGGTGAAAACAGGTGCTTGAAACCCACGTGCATGTGATTTGTCAGTGGTTAGTGATTTGTGAGTGGCATTGTGGGATAGTGAATCATTGTCAAAATATCAGAACGTAAAAAGTAACATATTCCCTTCGCAAACAACTTACATATTTTTATTTTTGTTTTGATAACTTTTTTTCCAGGCTAATTTGCATAATGCCTATAGCCTGTTTCTGCCATGTCAATTTGGACTTAGTTTTATTTTTGAATGTTGAAAGTGCCTACAAATTATCTCCTGTAAAGTTCATTTTGTTTTGAGCACCGAGATAAAACTAGCAAATCCAGAGTAGTACTTTTCCAGTTGTTTTGTTATTTCGCATTTACATCTACGTAATGCTTTGTGTCGATTATTAAATCCAGCAAAACCGGGGTTTTTTCATTTCCATGAGAACTTTAGTCCTATAGTCCTTGCCAAACTGCCCAATATCATAAGGACTAGAAGAAAGTAGCCATATTTAGGGTTATTGCTATATGTTATCATTATAAGGACTAGTGGACTAAAACTGTTAGTTTCTATCCCTGGAGGTAATATAGTTTTCTGTGACACTGAACACATGGTTTTCTACATTCTCCTAGCCCTTAAAAACTTTTACAAATGATATGCCTTACTGGGCAAGCATTAATTTGCGTGTATCAAGTACTGATGAAACCTACCCATGTAGATGGCAGCAGGGCTGTTGTAGGGTGACATGAACCTGGCTTGCACAGGGGACGGAGTTCTATGTATTGGGGTACCACAAAGTTGGGGAGGGGTAGGGGAGATGGACCGGGCAAGTGGGGACGATGACATGCCTGTAACAAGACACACACACTGACAACACATTCAACACGACCAAATTTCTCATGACAAAATGTGACATACTACATGTCATTAAAATCAGATTTTACTTCTCTACCTCTAAACAATGAACTGAGGACAACAGGTCACGTCAGAACGACCTTTCGCAAACTTTGACGGACCAATGAAAGTATTGATTCAACATTTGAAAACTGAACAAAAGAAAATTTGGGAATGTCTGATAGACTGCCAAGATTGTATGGCAGTACTTTCGACAGGCTATGAAAAGTCTCTTCTGTTATGTTTATCTCACGCAACTGCCTTTTGGAATACCCCGTGTTTACCTTTGAGAGGCTGCGCGAACAGAAAACACATTCCAACTGTCACTTTCCTGATCTGGTAAGCGATACTTTGGTTGGACAAATGAAAGGTCGTTTTGACATGACCCATAATGGGATGGCTTCAGTTCTTTGTTTAGCAGTTGCGAGAACTAAGATTTCAATGAGACTGGACATGCCAATAATTAGGAGATAAACCTATTCTGTTTTAAGTTTTAAGGTGGTTCATCACTGACAAAGCACAGCTTAATGTCATTTAAAACAGAAAATGTTGGCATGAGGTTCTAAAACTAGTAAAATCTAGATATTTTTTTATTTGTATATATCATGCATTGCTCCTTAATGCATTTACTGATTGTTCTCGACAGAAAGAAGAGCTGTGTGAGGTCTTGCTGAAGAAAAAGTTATTCCAACTGGTTGCGTGGCTAATCCCATCACACAGCTCCCACGTGGCCACGGAAGTGATGACATCCCGCTTCATCACATTACTGCAAGGTCGTGGCATCTGCAGACATTGAGGGGAGGCAGCTCTGTGAGAGGTGGGCCACTTTAGACAAAGTAATCCAGGATAAGTATACAAACATAAAAACTATCTAGATTTTACTAGTTTTTTGAACTTATCCTGCATTACTCCTTAATGCATCTTTATCGGACGGTATGGCATAGGGCATACCTTCAGATGAGGGATCTCAGTGAAAAGAAACTCCAGTACTTCACAGCAGACGTTGAGTGCAGATCTGTAACTACTTCGAACAATCCTGTCTGCAGACAGTACGAGAGTATGAGTATGTCCTTCTTAAAAGCAGCAAGAGAAATAAGTGTGTGCTCAAGTCTAGGAACTGATTCACCAAGCCAAACTGCTGGTTAGCAGAATCAACCCCCTGTTGGGTGTGTGAAAACTGCATGAGTCAGGTAAGGCTGGCTGTGGACAGGAGCCTTTGACATCTTCCAAGGCTACGATTCTCAGGTAGTGGCTTGCGAAGACAGTGTCAGACCTCCAAAAGCATCCTTCTATGATGGTTGTCACAGAGCAATTACTTTTCAGAGCCATCTGATCACATGAGGATTGTTAGCTCTATTTGGATCAAGGTTGACGATATCATAGGCCTGAAGGATGATGGCATGCAACAATAATGATATGGTGCTGCAGCTTTAGTCGTGGAGGTCTAAAAGGCGGGAATAAACATGCATTTCCGAGCACCATGCAGACAGAATCTTGGAGAAGACAGACGTGCAAAGGGCACAACAGAAGTTCCTTGTCGCCTTCGGTTCCATCATTCGATGATGTCAAAGGTGTTATGGAGAAGGACTGGTTGAGTTGATTCTCGGCAATGAAATCCCATCACAGCCCAAGGTGAACAGCTCTGTGTGTAGCATGCTCAAAGCGTTTGCGGGTAATGTCGAGAGTGTTAAGCTCTCTAACCCTTGCCACCTTGGCCAGTGCCAATAAGATGATCATCTCCTTGTTGAAGTTATAAAATCATGTTGTGTGAAGAGGCTCGAACAAGGAAGCATGCAAACAGAAGTACGACATTCTAATCCCATGCAGGAGGGCAAGACTTGGCCTTCTGATTTTCAAGACGCAATGAGTGTCATAGCGCTTGTAGTTCCGGGATCTTGGTCATTATCTTATATTCCGGATCTGCCAACACCAAATTGAGAGTCACCAAAATAGGCAGTAATGGTGCTGCCTTTCAGGTGTTGCTTGGTCCGCAGATAAAGGAGGTATTCAGCCAAGAATTGAGGTGACGCAGTAGTGGGGTCCTGATCCTTTCCTTCACAAAAGGTTCCATAGGAGTGAGTGTGTGAGTGAGTATGGTTTTACGAGGCTTTTAGCAATATTCTAGCAATATCATGGCAAGGGACACACATTGAAATGAGCTTCACACATTGTACCCATGTCGGGAATCGAACCCGGGTCTTCAGCTTGACGAGCCGTTCCATAGGAAAGCCACTATCATCATGAAGGTCTCGGGTTGAAGGTCAATGTACCACAGCAATGGTCTTAACTGCCCATGCTGAATAGCCTCAAGCTCTCTTAAGATGAGTCAGGTGTGCATATGAGACCTGCTTGGCGTTGGATGTGGTAACCTGTGCAGACGGATGTGTAGGTTGAACCACCCCGGTAGAGGAAGTGGATGGCTTCCTGAAAGACTGAGGTCTAAGGACCACCCTCTCGCCGGTCACCAAGATGCGATCACAATGAGAACGAGGATCTTGGGTGCCCTGATCTTCTGCATCACCCTGGGAAGAAGTTGGTTGTTGGTTATGGGAGGTGGAAAAGCGTATGCTCTTAGCTTTTCCTATGGGATGCTGAATAGCAAAAGGCAACAATTCAGCATGTGTCTGATAGATGTGGAAAGTTTCATCCAGAGTCAAACCCTACCCTTATTTTTTGCTAAGTCCAACTTGTTGCCATGGAAACGTAAAAGATAAAAATAAGTGCTAAATATCAAAAGGCACCAGTTCAGTATGTGCCTAGTAGACATGCAAAGTTTTGTAAGAAAGTATTTCACGGTTTTTGAGTTGTGCTCCAGAAACGAACACCACCCTTATAGAACCTAAGTACAACTTGTTGCCATGGAAACGTAAAAAAAAAATATCAAAATTTCTAAAATTCCTAAATAGCAAAAGGCATCAGTTCAGTATATGTCTGATAGACATGCAAAGTTTTGTTAGAAAGTATTGAATGGGTTTTGAGTTGTGCTCCAGAAACGAACACCACCCTTATAGAACCTAAGTACAACTTGTTGCCATGGAAACGTAAAAAAAAATATCAAAATTTCTAAAATTCCTAAATAGCAAAAGGCACCAGTTCAGCATGAGTCTGATAGACATGCAAAGTTTCGTAAAGAAATACTTATTTTTCTGAGTTATGCTCCAGAAACGTTTTTGGGACGCGCGCACAGACGCACGTACACACAGACGGACGGAACCCGTTTGTATATCCCAAGCCAACATCGTTGGGGCGGGGGATAATGAAGCAAAAGGTGTCATCACAACGTGTTCCCACGATTGTGTGTGTATGTAATATCCTAAATCCCAGAACACAGGTTAATTCTAAATGGCTTATTGGAACAACTATATGCCTGATACACACTGACAAAAAGCCACAATCAAGTGTTAAATCTTAAGAGCATATGTAATATATGAAGACACAAACCATAAAGGTAGGATATAGTTCATATAAAATAATAGTGTAATAAAACGCAAAGTATTGTAATAGATACAGATGAGAGCTCAAAACAGGTGACTGTTCTCTCTGAGTGGCAGTAGTCATGTGTTAATACATGATGCCATCACTACGGTGGTCACGTGGGAGCTGTGTAATGAGATTAGCCACACAACCAGTTGGAACACCTTCAGCAAGGCCTCACACAGCTCTTCCTTCTGCCCAAAACAGCGAATGTTAAGGAGTAATGCAGGGTAAGTTAAAAAATGTAACATTTAGCAGTGTTTCATCAACGATGAACTATCCTAAAATTTAAAAACAGAGTAGGTTTACCTCCATTGTACCATGACTTCAAATTAAGTAAAATTACCAATCAAAACCAATTAGATCACCCTTCAATGTTATGGTCGACTACTCCTTAGTACTACAAATCTGATATTAACCAAGTCTTGAAGTTCCTCAGATCTTTTACTTCGATTCCACACCTCTCAGTCACAATTGACAAAAACTACATGAAATGAAATTTCTCATCGGCCAATCAGATTGGTTGGTTGATTTGTTGTTTTACGCCAGCTATATGATGGTGGTCTGTAAATAATCGAGCCTGGACCAGAAAATCCAGTGATTAATATCATGAGCATCGATCCACGCAATTGGGAATCGATGACATGCATCAACCAAGTCAGCGAGCCTGACCACCCGATCCCGTTAGTCGCCTTTTACGACAAGCATAGTCGCCTGTTACGGCAAGCATTGGTTGCTGAAGACCTATTCTACCCCGGATCTTCACAGGTCCGGCAAATCAGAATGTAGGCTTTTAAATTCTCAGTTTTAACAAATCAAAGATTTCAAGCAGCATATTACTGTCTAACATGTCCAAGGCAGAAGTTTGACAATGAAGCCCAAATTTATTAGAATTAGAAATTGGCTGAAGAAACCTACACATCCACACAGGGCCAACAAATCTGAGTGAAAGCCTGAGAGTTTTGAGACCTTCAAAATACTATATGTTCTATTTGTCATGAACATGAACGAAATATTCCATCAAAATGTCCACTTTGTCAGACTGTTTCCTTAAAGATGACATGCCATAACATTGTTCCACAACCAAAGCATATATTAATCTACAAATGCACACTATACAAGATATACTACACACATGCAACGTCCACTACATGATCATTCACTGGCTACCCAGGTAAAGATTACCATTAGGATAAGTGTTAACATGCAACATGTATACTTCTAACTATGTATTTAATATGAATCACAACATTAAAATAAAAAAACAATGACAGAAATGCACTTTCCTAAAATCACCTGATCAGAAATTATCAAGTAAATATTCATTCATACCAGCAAAAACCTTACCAAAAAAAACCCCCAATGGTTTTCACAACAGTCACTTCACAAAGAGTGAAGAAACGTAAACAGCTCAACCTACCCATAAAGCCCTGGCCTGGTGAGTGCCCTCCAAGGGGCGGGGTCATTGATCGTTGGTGGAGGGGTGACACGCGTCCGTCATGAGAACGGGAGACCGGCACCGGGCTGAAACCCGGCGGTGGCTGAAACAAGTTACCTCCCATGTTCAGGTGAAATAGATAGGAGTTGCCAATGGTGCTGCAGAGATCTGAACCTTTATTAAGAATCACAATGACTGCAAGTCAAATCAGGGCATATAAATATATGCTTACAAAACAAGACACAAAAAACCCTGGGCCTAATTAAAAATCATAAGGACTTGTCAAATGCTGTTGAACACCCTAATCAAACATAATTTTAAACCAGTAAACTAATTTGTCTAGGGCTAGGGAATTATAAGATCAAGTTATTTCTAAGTGGTGTGCATGACTTGTTCAAAACATACCCACCAGTCCTACACTATGGGCACAAGAATACATGGTTATCGACACTGATATCATGATACTTTAGTGGAGATACAATGCAATGATAATAGGATATGTTGAAAAGTGCCTTCAGTGACAACACACCACATACACTAGTATTGATAATACACCAAACTGAGGTCCAGATAAGCTGTGTATTTGCGTAAAATATGCAAAATATATCACCATTGCGCAATGAATTTTAGTTGATTGTCTACAAATATATATGCAATACCGTATTTCCGGAAAATCAGCATAACAACCCAGTGATCCTTTTCAACTTGCGAACATGATCTTAATTTACTAATCAAAAATGAAGGCATCATACATGAACTGTACCCCAGTGAATAATGTCTCAGCCGTATATATGGCTGTTATGAGTTGATATGAAATGTTACACACTTGGGGCAGCACCTGAACTGATACACTTAAAAAGGGACCTGAAACAACATTTTTAACAGGATAATTTCTAAACGAGTCACAAACACATCAGTATTTACAATTGGCATATACAGATTATACATCTCAAGCTTTCATTTCAGGAAGTCATTTTATCTGTATGTGACATTGCTATGACGTGAATAACATCACACCTCCTCTACCGACCTTACCTGTGATAAGTTTGGCATCATGGGACCAAGTGGTCTACAGATGGGTTGGATGGGTACTGGCATGGAGAAAGGGGACTTGTGATCTGGAAAGGTGGAGACACTGCCAGGGGTGGCAATTGTTCTCTTCACAGGATGTCGGTTCGGTGGGGACTCTCCTCTCATCTGGCGCTCCAACTCCTCTGCCGTCATCACCGTGGGAGTCTTCTTCTTCAGCAGCTGGTTCTCGATCTCTGCCAGTGTTTGGGCACTTGAAGGAACTATGGGAGACTGGGGAGCAGGCAGGATGCCTGACACACGAGGCTTGGCTTGGATAACTGATGGTTTCTGTAAGTCACATTCAACACACTTAGGATTGATTTGGTTGGTTGGTTAATGCCGCGCTCAGCAATATACCAGCTATATGACGGTGGTCTGTAAATAATCGAGTCTGGACCAGAAAATCCAGGGATTAATATCATGAGCATTGATCCACGCAATTGGGATCGATGACATGCATCAACCAAGTCAGCAAGCCTGACCACCCGATCATGTTAGTCGCTTTTTTCGACAAGCATAGTCATCTTTTACGGCAAGCATGGGTTGCTGAAGACTTATTCTACCCCAGAATCTTCACGGGTCTCTTAGGATTGAATATACTAGCATACCTGTTCTATATTTCATATGTTGTGATGTGTGATGAGGAATATATCTCCATACATATCCATGTTTGACATGACTTAATGACTCAGTGTGCTATTCACAACACTATTACCAAGATGACAAGGAAATCATGGCAACTTGTTAATCAAATCAATATTGTCAAGCTACAAAACAAAACAAACAAATCCTTCCACAAAGCAATGTTGACCTAAAATCCACTTATATCATCAACCCCTACAACAGTTGTATCAAGATGGTTTGGGACATTGTGCCCAAGTAACTGATCACAAATGGTCTTTCCTGGAAAGTCATACATCTGTGGCATCCACTGAGGGCAAATATGCACCATCTAAGATGCTGTATGACCAGAAGAGTAGCCAACTGTTGGCTCCCTGTAGAACCTATCAGGACTAATCAAATTTAACCAGTGGTTGATAGAATAAGCAGCAGGGCACAAAGACACACAATCAACCAGAACATGCTTTGTAAACCTCTGCCAAATCTGACCATAAAGAGCTGATGGGGACCTGTTCTACCTGCCATTGGGTGACCAGAACGAGCTACAGAACAACTTACACTGGAAGTCTGGGTAGGACTTCCTGTCCCTGCCCCCTTGGCAAAGTCAAACAGAGCCTGCAGGTTGTTGTTCACAGGTTTTGAGAACGGTGAGTCACGGGCCGGTGAACCCCATATGTTCTTGCTGGTGGGGGATACCTGGAAGTGGTCACATGTACACATGAACAGAAACAGGTAACTACAAACAGAAAGAGCAGGGTCTACTAGGTGCTACGATGAACGTAACTCCCATACTTTTATATAGACTTTTGATGGCTTCGTGCAAGTGGGCCCAGAACAGTGTTCAACCGTGTTTTAACATGATGATGCTACCTAAAGATGAACAATCAAACTTCATTTTTCAGTTAGTATTTTAGTGTTATTAGTGATTCAGAAACGAACATATTAAACCTTCAGTGTGCATCAATGAAAATGTAAACAATCCTACCATAACAGCAGGCACTACATTCCTACTAGAACATGTGGAGCACAGTTTTGAGAATACAAATTTTAACAGGAGTGGAGCTATGCTCAGGAAACAAATCATCATAATGATCAACTGATGGCTGAAAGATATCACCAATCTTCTATGCTGCAGAGAGTAGCTATCTAAATATCCTGATGATTTAACCAAACTGATCCCTTTGACAACACTGAAGACTGCAGATATTGTGTTCAGTCCTTACCAAGTGTTCTGTGTCTAGGAAAGCTGGTGGGGAAGATGGTCCAAACAGCTTGTCAAGATTAGTTTCTTTCTGCAATCAAGAAACACCATAAAATTCCTAAAAAAAAAATAGCCATGGCTTTCGAGCTTTCTTTTCATTCTAAGTTTGCTTGCTACAGTAATGTTATTTACAGGATCTGTGATAGACCCACACTTGCTCAACCATGTGCCTACTCATACGTCATGAAACAGCCACGCTATCTTCCCAAGGCAAGAGTGTCCACTAGCCTGTAACAAAACCTAGTTTCACCCTTGCCTACTTTTCTGTGCTAAAATATGAGAGGATTATCGTATGTATATCGACAGACCAATTAGGCAGAATTTTACAAAATCAACATCCTGGTTCCCAAAATGTGGTCAATGTTGTTCTAAAATTATTCTAAAAATTGTGCGAAAGACAAAGATTTAAAAAAAAAAATTTAAATCAAGTCTGGACCAGACAATCTAGTGACTGACATCATGAGCACTGATCCACACAATTGGGATATGATGACATGCATCAATGAAGTCAGCAAGCCTGACCACCTGATCCTGTAAGTCGCCTCTTACGATAAGCATAGTTGCCTTTTACAGCAAGCCTGGGTTGCTGAAGACCTATTATAACCTGTATCTTCATGGGTTAATTTTCAATCTACTCACCCCAAGTACTTATATATATTTGAGTGCAAACTGCATTGTTTCTTAACTTACACGACTGAACACTTATTGCAGCAATCAATTCTGTGCTGTTTTAGAATGACCCCTGCTGAGCGTGCCATGTTACTGCGATGCAGTGTTACTTGACACTATGATACCATGAGCGTCTGTTATCGTAAGAGTGAAATGAAGCAGTAATAAGTATCTTTACTGTGGTAATCTGTCATTTTGTTTGTCCGCCAAGGATGAAATCTCAAATCTTTTTGTTATCTGATTGAACAGGTTGTCTGCTATGGCATTCATCTTTGTGAAGCCATTACGAAATAAGAACAGCTATCTGATACAATATCATCACAATGGACACAACTCGTTTTCTACACAGGGCGGTGCCACAATCTATCCAAGAAAGGAAGGCTGGAAAAAGCAAGGGTGGAAACTAGGCATTGACATACATAGTGGACACTCTTGACGTGGGAAGATGCAGTCACACATTATACAATTAGCTATGTTTTCAGATACAGATCAATTTCAATGTTTTCATAAGTACTAAAAAAATTCATTTCTGTATTAACTAGTTAGTTGAAACAGAACAGAACATATGAACAAGAAAGTTGTAACACAACATTATTGACACTTGACAAAGTGTGTGGCATCAGAGTGGGGTCAGATACTATCTAGCAAGAACTTGTTTACATGTGAGATTCAAGTCTTGTAATTGTACATCACTCCCCAGTACTCAAAGTATGGAAACGACACACTGCAGCACTGTGACAATTGTAGTTGATAGTGATATTTCAACAGGTGCTTGTGTGTGAGTCACAGTGACAAGTGAATGACAAATGATTGTGATAACCTACATGAGATGAGAATGGTATGGCAGCACTTCCAGACACATTGACAATGGCTGGGTCAACGAGGTGGCGCTCCTCCTCTTCATCCAACACCAGGTGGTTGATGCTCTGTTCCATGATCTCCTGGGGACAAGAAAGTGAAGAATATTACACAGGAACATTATCATAATGAGGTGCTTGAAGCAGCCCTTCAACACCATTTCCAGAAGGCCCCCAAAATCATTACATACCACCATGTCTATTACAAACTAAATACAGATTAAAGTACCTTGAGGAACATACATGCAATTGTAGGGGAACATTCTTCTTATAAATGCAGAGCAACTGAAAGAGTCCCATGACACTAGCTACCTAATAACCTTGACTCTCCATTTCAGCCAATTACATGTTTGCTCATTGCTAGTTGGAAAAATGGTTCCTAGCTCGTACCAACATGTCATACCAATACAGGGAGTTTGTTGATACAAACAAAGAAACAAGGACCACCTTTCCAGTGACCTTGACCTTCATGAATGTCACAACTAACTCCTTCAATGCTTCACCATAAGGATGACATTATGACAAGGAGTATAATGGATAACAACTTCACTTATCATACATACATGCACAATGCTACTTCTTGCCCCTTCATCAGGTCAAGTGTAGATATACTGTGCTATAGAAGTTGTTTTCTTTAGTACTCCTCATCATGATTACATCCAACTTCAAAATGCCAATAAAGACTCTAAAGGATCATATGAACCAACTTTTTATCCAACTGCAGGGAACAATTTTACTTTGCAGAAGAGAGTGCTGAAACTGAGTGAGGTCAGATACTATCTAGCAAGAACTTGTTTACATGTGAGATTCAAGTCTTGTAATTGTACATCACTCCCCAGTACTCAAGGATGATAAGGTGCAACTGGAAACATTTTGTACCTCTTGAAGTCTGTAGCTCTTTTCAGCTGTGTCAAAGCCTGAATCCCTGGTCCGATTGCCATTTTGCTTTGAGTCATTAAATGAGTGTGCCTCCAATTCTTCTGCAAATCTTTCATGTTGCTTTTCCCAATCAAACTCAGCTGAAAGAGAATGGTAACTGTACAACTACTTGGATACTTCACGGAACCCTCCGGAACAGGCCAAACTTGAAACAATTCAGATTAAATAGCTACATGCATGCATTCACATATTTCAGCAGGGAAACGTAACAAATAGTGCATGGTGTACCCAATGTTTTGGGTATCTCTCAGCATATTCTGACAAGTAGACATGGCTTACTTCAAATAGCTGGCATGTTACTATGTGATCATCAATCAGCTTCATACCTTTTCAAGGCAGATCCTAATGTTACACCTTTCCAAGGCAGATTCAAATGTTACACCTGCTCAAGGCAGATTCTAATGTTACACCTGCTCAAGGCAGATTCTAATGTTACACCTGCTCAAGGCAGATTCTAATGTTATACCTGTTCAAGGCAGAATCAAATGTATTCCCATTTCAAGGCCAGACAGTCAGATCCAAGTCATTTTCAAGCCTATACAAACCTTGTTCAATACAACAAAACAATTCAACAACATTTACAGTGGTCTGGCTGACATAAAGGTGTACAGTAAACTCCGGTTTTAACGAACACGCTTATAACAAAATGAGGGATATAACAAACTGTGTTTTGGTTCCCGGCTATTTGGTGGCTTATCATATACAATTGATGGATATGACATACACGCTTATAACAAAGTGAGGGATATAACAAACTGTGTTTTGGGTCCCGGCTATTTGCTGGTGGCTTATCATATACAACTGATGGATATGACATACACGCTTATAACAAAATAACAGATTTAGCGAACTCACTTTGTGGTCCTGTGTGTACTGTCAATGACAATGTGTATGTTTAAGCTCAAGTGTCACCAATCAGCCCATCAAAACATCCACAGCCAAACGTGGCTGTTCAAAGCAGCAATACACAACTGAAGGCAAGCGATTAACTGGATTAAGTACTGACGCCTTGTCCTCAACGATAATAAAACAGTGATTAGGCTAAAGCCTTTGAATTGGATATATGGGTCATTCTCTAAAAAAGTAACATTTTGGCCTATGAAAAATCAACAAATCAGAATTCATTGTTGAAATGTTTTTGTTGAGCAGATAAATAACATAACAATTACTGAATATAAGTGTAAAGTATGCAGGCTTAATATGTCTTATTTTCCTTTTTGCAGAAAACTATTTTTGGCATTTCTGTACCAAATGTCTGTGCTGTTACCGTGCATAAAATTCAGTTTTTGTCACTGAACATAAATCTAAAATGAATTAAATGTATGATATGGTTGTTGCATTTTGGCATAGTTCAAATACCAACAGCTATAAAATTTCATTTATTGGCTTTACTAAATTATAAGACTAAATATATGCATACAATGGAATTATTTGAAAAAAGATGCACGATAAACTTGTCTACTGCTTACACTGAAATGGAACTACCATTATTCTATAAGGTAAAAATAGTTATTACACTCGTTTTATGAATTATATATATTTTTGTCTGCAGAGTTGAACCAATTATAACTTTTGAGATGGCAGAAACCTGGTGACAGGGAAGACATTCATGGTAACAGGACAGACAACACGGTAACAGGAAAGACAAAATATTTTGTAATTGCCAAAACTATAATAACCATTTCTGTGTTCTGTGTTTCAGAAGCAAAGGTAGTCCAAAAAAAGGAAACTCAATGAATGTGTATATGTGTTCGGTGTATTTTGTATGAAACATTAATTAGACAAGTATTTGTCACAGAGTGACGAAATATCCCCCGCCTGTACACCATACTACCAAATATGAAGACAATCCAGCGATTAGTTCTTGAGATATTGTGGCAACACCGTTTTCCAACTCCAAAAACAGATTTGCCTGCTGTGACCTTGAAAATGGGGTCAAGGTCACCAAATCTGACAGGTGTATGCGGTGTCTGTATATACACTATAGTTCCAAATATGAAGACAATCCAGCGATTAGTTCTTGAGATATCGCGGCAACACCGTTTTCTAACTCCAAAAACAGATTTGCCTGCTGTGACCTTGACAATAGGGTCAAGGTCACCAAAACCGACTGGTGTCTGCGGTGTCTGTATATACACCATAGTTCCAAATATGAAGACAATCCAGCGATTAGTTCTTGAGATATCGCGGCAACACCGTTTTCCAACTCCAAAAGCAGATTTGCCTGCTGTGACCTTTAAAATGGGATCAAGGTCACCAAAACCGACTGGTGTCTGCGGAGTCTGTATATACACCATAGTTCCAAATATGAAGACAATCCAGTGTTTAGTTCTTGAGATATCGCGGCAACACCGTTTTCCAACTCTAAAAGCAGATTTGTCTGCTGTGACCTTGAAAATGGGATCAAGGTCACCAAAACCGACTGGTGTCTGCGGGGTCTGTATATACACCATAGTTCCAAATATGAAGACAATCCAGTGTTTAGTTCTTGAGATATCGCGGCAACACCGTTTTCCAACTCTAAAAGTAGATTTGTCTGCTGTGACCTTGAAAATGGGATCAAGGTCACCAAAACCGACTGGTGTCTGCGGAGTCTGTATATACACCATAGTTCCAAATATGAAGACAATCCAGTGTTTAGTTCTTGAGATATCGCGGCAACAAACAGGTGGGACGTACGAACGGACGGACGTACGGACGGTCGTGAATACTATATCCCCCGCTTCGCGCTTTCGCGCGGCGGGGGATAATAAAAATGTGAGGTTTGGTAACAGCACAGACAAGCAAAAATTCATAAACAAATCTTATGTGGAATTGTTCATCTCAAAAATAGAACTTGATCAGAAACTCTACCAACAACCTTAATGGCACTTTTTGAGGTTATTGTTGCTTATTCCAAGCAAAAAGCTGTAAGGAAATGAGAATAGTCAACTTTCAAAACTTCAACAGTAACAGCACAGACAAAGTCTGATAACATATTTGCACTTTTACCAAATGATAGCATTATATGATAACATTCAGTAAATCTTTCTTGACCTCATTCATGTGCACATATAAACACAGGTTATTGTTTGCCATGAATTGTTTCCAACATATCTTCCCACAAAGAAGACTCAACACAATAGTCAGAGGAAAGTGATATTTTGGAGGGCTCTGGTACAAAGCTAACTATGTCCTCAAATTGGTACCAGTATTTGTCTTTAAGTTTGTGCGGCCAGAAGAAACAATTTGCATTCCCGTGCTTTCCCACTTTATGCATACATTCCACAAAAACTTCACCTAGGTCTATATCTTAAACATAACCAGGATATGATATGTTTTACATAACGACAACGAATTTCCCCAGGCATTCATTTGTATCAACTGGCTGGTGTATTTCCTTTTGTCTTTCCATCTTATCATCGTTTGAACTTTGTACCATTTCCTTACTTGTCTTTTGGTGAATCTCATCATCATTCAGACTCTCCATTATGTCAGCACACACCTCCACTTCTCATTCCCCAACTCATACACTCCATTCTGTCAGCACACACAGCACACACAGCTTAGTAATAAAGAAAATAATAGCTATTCAGCTTATTCTTTACTTACTGCGTCATAGAGCGGTCGCTGACAAACAAGATTGTCTAATATTCTTCCACTGGTGGCGACTGAGTGACTGCACATGGAAGTTGACTGGCTCTGTATAGGGCGAATTCATTATTTGCGTCAGGGGTTGGCAATCTGCAGGATAACAACCAGAGGGCCAAACTTCGAACGTCTTCGACATCCTCGAGAGCCCCAACGCGAAGGTTATGACTAACGAAAATATGTGTCGAATCTCCAGAAATATCCTTCCGTGATTATTCCAAAACCACAATTGCCATGTTGAGCCCTGGTAAGGCTGACACCTTGAGATCTTGAGGGTAATTCGCTCTCGGCGAGTTCCGTTTGATGATCTCGTAGGCCTGAAGGATCACTGCGCGTAACCATAGAGATATGGTGTTTGCGATTATGCGACTAACTTCTGTCGTGGACGAACCACGCCTAGTCTTGGAGCGTCGAATGAAAACTCGAACTGCTCGCACCGAGCCCAGGAGAACTTCACCATGTACTATTCCCACAATAGTCGATATCGGTGGGATGGTGAAGGAACGGTCGGGTTGGCCTGGTAGTACATTTTAGCAATAAAATCCCAGCATAACCCTAGATGTCCCGTTCCGTGCGTCCCATGCTCAAAACGGATCCGGGTTGAGTCGATCACATGTAGTTCGCTCACCCGTACCGCCATTGCTAATGCCAAGAGAAACCATTGTTTCCTTGGTGATGTCCAAGCTCCTCACAGCGATAGCACGTTCGCGGAGCTCTCTTTACTATACCGAGAGTGTAACGAAGGTGTCACGCGCTGGGAAGGAGCTTGAAAATGAGGATGCAATGAGGAGCTCGAAGGGGGCCCTCGCAAACCTCGAAGAATCACGTTCAAGTCCCAATCAGGTCGCTGGAACTTGGCCTTCTGATCCTCAAACCTGAATGAGCATAATATGGCCTGTAGTTTCGTAACCTTAATCACACTGTGATTTTCCGGAAACGGCCAACACTAAGATAATTGCAGCCAATTACGTAGTAATGGTGCTACCTTCCAAGTGTTTTTGGGTACGCAATGTAGGAGGTATTCCTCTAGGAATTGTGACACAATCGTAGGGTCTTGATTCTTTTCTTCCCTGTAAAAAGTCTCAAGTGATCCCCACTTGTCATCGTCGTCTCTGGGAGAGTAACGATGAACTAAAGCTATAGCTTTGCTGCCCGTGTCGAAATAACCCTTCGCACTTAAACGCCTTTCAAAGACGAACCATGCGTGCAGACATTGGGTGAGGCAATTTTCTGTTGAGGGTGGATGAGTAGGTTGGACCACTGTGAGAGGGGAAGTGAATCGTTTTAGATTTTTCCGAGCTTGACGAACTACCCTCTCGCCGGTTACCAGGGTGCGACCAAAGGAGAGATCAAGATACCTTGTCTCCTTGATCCCCTGTAGCACCTTGGGAAGTAAAAGTGGTGGCAGAAGAGTGTTAGTTCTTTGCCCTTCCCAAGTGATACTGAACTC